TGTGAATTTTGACAGTGAGAAATGAAGTTTCTGGGTCACGTGGTGTCAAAAAAGGGGATAGCTGTAGATCCAGCCAAGGTTTCAGCAGTGGTGGAGTGGGGACAGCCTACTACACCTACTAAGATTCGGAGCTTTCTCGGATTGGCGGGATATTATCAAAGATTCATTTAGGGGTTCTCCAAGATAGCAGGACCACTCACTCATCTGACCAAGAAGGGTGTACAGTTCGTGTAGAATGAGCACTGTCAGCGAGTTTTTGATGAGCTTAAAAGGAAGTTGACTTCTGCACCGGTTCTGGCTACTCCTTAGAGCGGGATCAAATATCTTGTTTACACGGATGCTTCATTGCAGGGTCTTGGATGTGTGTTGATGCAGGAGGAGCGACCGATTTCTTATGGATCTCGGAAGCTTAAGCCTCATGAGCTTAATTATCTAACACATGATTTGGAGTTGGCAGTAGTGGTCTTTGTCTTGCGTATCTGGAGGCATTATCTGTTAGGTGAATCCTTCTGATTATTTAGTGATCACAAGAGTCTGCAATACTTATTCACTCACTGGGAGCTAAATATGAGATAGCACAAATGGTTGGAGTTTGTGAAAGACTATCACTTTTTTATACAGTATCATCCAGGGAAAGCGAATATGGTGGCGGATGCACTCAGTCACCGACCTGTTGGTAGTCTTTCTGCTCTATTCACTACTGAGTGGAATGCGTTGAAGAAGGTGGATGAATTGTCGGATGCGTTCATGGCTTGTATGGTAGTTACACCTTTTATCATTCACAAGGTTTTGAAGGCACAACTCATGGATCAGCAGTGCATTGACAAGGTTACAGAGATAGCTTTCGGAGAGGTTCCATTTTACTATGTTGGGACTGATGGAGGTTTGAGATACAAGGGACGGTTAGTGGTACCTTCTGCTGATGAGTTAAGAAAGGATGTGATGACTGAGACTTACCATTCTGAGTTTTCTGTTCATCTGGGAGGAGACAAGATGTATTAGGATATGAAGCGACAGTTTTGGTAGGCAGGTATGAAAAGGGACATTGCTCTTTTTGTCTCCCGATGTAGTACTTGTCAAATGGTTAAGATTGATCATCAAAGGCCGCCAAGAGCTCTACAGCCACTGCTGATACCGGAGTGGGAGAGAATTTTTATGGACTTTGTGGAAGGGTTGCCAAATTCCTTCAAGGATCACAACTCCATTTGGGTTATTGTGGACAGACTGACGAAATCGGCTCATTTCTTGCCTATTCGCACTAACTTCACTACGGAGCAGTTGGTGAGGCTTTACGTTTTGGAGATTGTGAAGCTGTATGTTATTCCATTATCTATTATATCGAATAGGGATTTGAGCTTTGTGTCAGGATTTTGGAAGAGTTTTCAGCAGGCTTTGGGTACAGAGTTGCATTTTAGCACTGCTTATCATCCTCAGACTGATGGACAGACTGAGAGAGTTAATCAGATCATGGAGGATATGCTTCGGTCGCGTGTTCTTGACTTCAAGGGCCACTGGGAGGATTATTTGCCACTTGTGGAGTTTGCTTATAACAATAGTTTCCAGAAAACTATTGGGATGGCACCATTTGAGGCGTTATACGGCCGACCGTGTCGATCGTCTGTTTGTTGGATGGAGGTTGGTGAGAGCAGATTCTTAGGTCCTGAGTTCATCAAGGATACTTCTGAGAAGATAGCTCTTATTAGGGATCGTATGCGTACTGCCTAAAGTAGGTACAAGAGTTATGCGGATCATCGCACACGTGCTTTGGAGTTTCAGGTTGGGGATCAGGTTCTACTCAAAGTGTCTCCTATGAGAGGAGTAATGCGCTTTGGGAGGAAAGGAAAGTTATCACCACGGTTTGTCTGTCCTTTCATGATTACGGATCGAGTTGGAGCTGTTGCCTATCAGTTGGCACTTCCGGATAATTTGGATCGCGTTCACAATGTGTTCCATGTTTCCATGTTACGGAAATTTCTGCGAGATGAGGATCGGTATCAGCATATCAAAGTTGGGGAGATTGAGTTGTAGCCGGATGCAACCTATTTGGAGTCACCGTGTTATATTGTCGACCGTCGGGATCAAATCCTTCGTAATAAGGTTGTCCCTTTAGTTCGTATGCCGTGGAGTCATCATAATGAGGCTGAGTCCACTTGGGAACGGGAGGATGTCATTCGCTCACAGTTTTCTGAATTATGGGAAGAAGGTAAGAGCGAATTCCGAGGACGGAATTCCTTTTGTTAGGGGGGAAGAATGTAATACCCCTAATTTCAAAAGGATAGTCCTGGTATTTTATAAATTGTTTAAATTGCATTTATATTTATTTAATTATTTATTTGTATTTAATAAATTGTTTAAATTGTATTTATATTTGTTTAATTGTTTATTTGTTAATTTAATGGAGTTATGTGATTTATTTGTTTATTTTGATTTTTTTTTCATTTTATTTAACTGACATTTGTTTAGTTAGTACTGGTTTAATTATATGCTTATGTGGCTATTTAAATATATAGTTTTTAATTTAACTGTGGTCCGTGTTTTGGTTTCCATGTATATTAATATTAGGGTTTAGTCTTTTAGGTTTCACGTTGAGCCGACTTGTAGTTGGTTTAGGATTTAATTTAGGGTTTCAAATAAAACCTATAAATACATAAGTATATGTCTGCCAAGGGTTTTGTTAATCCTTTTCACGTAGCAGATAGATACAGAGAGTTGTGAGATTTTGAGAAAATAGATAGTGAAAACTTGAGAGCTTACAGAGAAGTTCAAGGAGGAAGGAACGGGGTTGCTTCTGGGTTAGCCAAGAGTAACAAAAGCGTGGAACAAAGTTGGAAATTCAGAGACGATAGTTAGAGATTTAAAACCAAAGTCTCGAAGGCAAGTTTCTGTTCTTGCTCTTTTCCTTTAATTCGTGTTCTGTGCATGCCTAACTAGACTCCAGGAGTTTAATTAATACTAAAACAAATTAATTATGCATGCTTAATCAAAATAAAACAGAGGGTTGCAGAGTTATACATACCTGTTCGTGTTTTCTTTAGTTTTGTGATCTTTATGCATGAACTATTGTTTAAATTGAATCTTTGCACGTTAAAACACTTAAAATAATTTAGTATGGACGTATGGGACCTAGGTTGAAACTTAGAGGCCTTAGCAATGAAGTTTTAGGGTCTACAGAGGCTAAACGGGCGAAGAAGACGGCATCAGCACCAATTTAGCAGACTCAGTTAGAGACAGAGCCGACTAAGTCGGCAATTTAGCCGACTCAGTTGGAACTGAGTTGACTAAGTTAGGAACTTAGCCGACTAAGTTAGTAACTTAGCCGACTAAGTTAGGAACTTAGCCTGCTCAGTTGGCAATGGAGCCGACTATGTTGGGCCGTAACCTGGAACTTAGTTTTAATTGCTCAGAATTGTTTTGGAACCTATTTTAAGTAATCTAAATGGGTTAAATGGACTTTGGGTGGTTCTAAAATGCATAATACACTTCTTATGCTTAGGAAATTTGACAATACGGATATGTAAATAAATTTTTATAAATTATTCAAAGGATGAATCAGTATAAAAGCATAAAACTTAGCATACTGATAATGGATGGAAAGAACCAAATTGCTTAGCTTAATTTTGGGCAACATAATGGATTATAATAAGATTATAAATCTTATATTGGATGCATGATAGATCATTTTATGTTTAAGGTTTGAACTATGCATGCTCTGGATGTTAATTGTTGGAATGTCAAATTCTCTAGTGCAATTACATGAATTAATGCTGGGATTTATATTGCTAAAATTTTAAATACCTTTCTGCACTAATATGGATAATGGTTTGGATTGTAAATTACTAGCTTATTATTGTGTTTTGTAATTTACATGGATATGGAGGATTGTATGCACCGGTATGGGATGGTGACATACTATGGACTGTTTAGCTCAAAACGCTTAAACCTACCCTAATGGATTAAATGATGGATTAAAAAGTATTAAATCCAAATTGTGATTGAGTCAGATCAACTGCGACTAAGTTGAATGGCTTCCTGGATTAATGGATGGTAGTTAAGTCATATCAACTGAATAAGTTGAGTGACTAACTAGTTTGTATATTGTATGTCATCTCAATAAGTATTTGAATGACATACCCTGGTTTTGGACGGACTTTATATACATGTTTATGGTACCACGAGATGAGCTTGAGTCTCAGACTCGTTGGTTAGGGTGCGTATATACAGTGGATGCGTAGCTGGTTAAAGTAGGTTGAGGTGTACCTTGTTAGGTCTAGGTACTCATGCGCACCTTTGGGTGCATTTTCGCATGTTGCCTTCTATACAGGTTGAGACCCCTACTATTGTCCAGTGAATGTCCCTTAGTGTGGATATATATATGTATGGACTATATAGATATTGTTTAGCTATCTAGGATGTATCTGGGTATCAGATTATTGCTTGGATTGTAGTAGAATAGGACTTACATATGGGCCTGACCCACTCTTTATTTCTTAGGTGTCCGTCAGTTCTAGGGTTAGAGCTTGGACGTGCAAAGCAGATACAGATATTCATTCCTCCGACTACGTAGGAATCTTTTCTATGTTTAGCTTTAGATTCTATTTCAGATATTTTAGTTTCTATTGGGTTTTAATAAGGGGTCCACTGGATGGATTCCCGAGTTGTAAACTTATGGAGTTTTGGATTAACGGATTTAAATAATTATGTTTTGAGGATTTTTATTCTAGTTTCTTTCAGCTTATTATTTTTATTTCTTTAATTCAATTTGTATTCTATGTTTTAAAATATTAATTGTTTGATATCCCTCGGGTTTGGGCCTGGGCCTGATCGACCCGCGTCTCGGATCCGAAGGGTATCACACACATACACACACACACACACATATATATATATATATATATATATATGTAGATATAACCAATTCCAAATCATGATTTTATACAAAAATATATACAAATTTTAAAGTAGTACATGATCTATAAGCTTATATCTTTACTTAACCAAAATAAAACAAAATTTCTTCATATCTTCTTGCTCTATTTTAGTATCTCTTCCATATATGCAACTTCTTGATCATGAGCCATACAAAAAATATAACGGCAACAAAAAAAGTCATGGGAACCGCAATCCCGCAATCCTAGCTTTGACCTACAAAATGTAATAGTTGAAGTAAGAAAATGTAAAGCAAGTTGTAAAGTTGCCAAAATTATATATATTGAGTTTTTAGGCTCTTATAAATGCGGAAGACCTAAAGTAAAATGTATGTTGCAAATATATGAGGAATGAAGAAATCGCTTAATATGTACCTTCCATTCTCCCCTCCCCACACACACCAGATTTACTACCCTTTCTTTAAACACAACCAAAATCAAAATCCTCATTTCGTATCTCTTGTATTATTGAAACAAGAATTGGTAGCACATCTCTTAGCAAGGGGCTTGTCAACATGATGCCTTGCCAGTTGACACAACTAAAATTAAGTATATTAGTCAAACACAAAATAAACAAATGAAGCAATTACAAGACAATAATTTTGACATTGCAATGAACTACAAAAAATGGGGTTATAATAGATCTCTATTCCTCATCCATGATTGACATGGAAAAAATCAAGTCCTCTACCAAGCAAGGGGTCTGAGACCATTAAAACCTCAGTACGAGGTCGCCCTACAAGTACTAACTTATGAACTTTTAGAGAAACTTGAGAACTGTTTGTTAATTTGTAGGGATCTTGTTTAATTTGTTGATATATATATATATATATATATAATCTTCAAAGCAATCTTTATGCATCATTTATGCATGTCATTCTGAGAACTGATTCATATATGCAATCTTAGCTCCTTGGACACATTCTTTTTAAGTTTAATGTATGACCTATCGATTTGTGTTTCCCACAATTTGTCTGAATCAAAGTGAATTTATATATATATACATATATATATATAAATATATGTGAATTTATATATAATTAACGTTGTTTAATTAGATGCAACAGATGGATGATATTCAAGTATCCAAACCAAGTATGTAATTAATTTTCTGGTCTGTCTGGTGTGGTGTTCATTATCAGTACGTTCTTTCAATGGAGGAGGCTGTTATATATATTCCTAACGTACGTAACTTTTTGAGTGCTTAATTTCTCTAAGAACTCACCCCATTAATAAAATGAAGTACTGATACAAATCAATTAAACAAGTCTGTCTAACTTACATACACCAATTAAACTAAAATTAAGCACTCAATAAATTTAAGAGGGAGATAATATTTGCACACCTGTTCCTGTAATAACTCGACCGTCTCTCTGTATAATGTGAAAGATCTTCACCTGTTTTTCTTACTCTCTTTTTCCCCCCTTCTCATCTCCTCTTCTCTCTCCTATTTTATTTTTCTCAGCCTCTTCTCTCTCCTATATATATATATATATATATATATATATTTTCATTCTCTCACACCACTTTGTATTTCTTCACACTTGTTAACTATTTCTTTTGTTGATGCAAAAATATACACACTCTGGAGCCATTGACGATTCCTGCAAGACAAGAGAAAAGAGATGACCGGCGTGGTGCCGGCCGGGTGCACTCTGACGGTCAAATTAGTACTTCACGATTCCATCTCCGATAAAGGATTCAATCTGGGATTTATGGCGTACCTTTTTCTGTTGACTGGCCTCACTTTTATAGAAAGTTGAAGTTGTCATTTCCGTATTTCCTTCCGGGAGAGAAGGGATTAGTTAATCGTATCTTTAGTGCAACCTTTGAATTAATTAAATCTTATCCTTTAATTACCTTATGAGATGGTCACCTTATCTCCTTAAGTTTATCCATGCCCTTTGAGTCTTCATGTCACTTAGAATTCTTATCTAGTTGAATATTCCGTATCACCTTTTCTGCACATTCATTTTCTTCAAAATTTCTTCCTAATTTTTAACTTCATTTTTAAATGTGCTAAATCAAAATCACTCCAAAAATTTTACAGAAACTTGATTAGCAATTCGCATCTCAAAAAGCAAGAAAATTGTTTTTTTAAATATCAGAATATCAATATTTTTTATATTGATAAATTAAAATCAAAGCCATATTTTGATTTTTTGCTTTAGGTCTCAAATAACATTGAGCCAGCTGTAAGCATTAGTCCTTGATTTTGGTAAACTCGTTGTTGCATTTTCTTTTACTTCTTTGCTCTCTTTCCTCTTTCCTCTTCCACTTGTTCTCTATTTGTTTTCCTTAACTCTGCTCTCTAATTAATTTAGATAAACAACTTGTTTTCTTTTTAATTAAACCAAAATTCAACCATTAAAATAGCTCCAATAAATCGTAGTTCTCTTCCCAAAACCCTCTTTGCTAAATTTTCAACTGTCCCTAATTTATTTCTCAGTAAACCTTAATCACAATTCTTTATTGAACTGTTTGAATTTCTAATGTTCCTATATCAGGGCTTCTGTGGTGCATAATTTAAATTCTTAACTACTCTTTATTGCTGAAGTTGGCAGTTTATGATCTTACACAATTAACTTATTCATACTATCCATATTCGAAAAACTAGTGTCATTTTTGAGGTCCACAACCAAAGGTAGGAAGCAGCTGTCTTCTGCTGGTCTTTTTTAAGATTGTTTAAAACTCAACTATAAATTGAGTGGAATGATTACCAATTGGGATTAAGGGATCAAAGTTTCCTGAGACGTTTTCTAGAAATGACTACATAAGGTGGCAGAAGAAGTTTGCATCAATCATATGCATAAAGTGAATAGAAAATATTCAAGTCCACATGAAGATAGATAACCTCTACTCCATAATCGAGACTGCATTTTGTATGACAATGAGCTTAAATGAAGTTTCTGAAAACAAGCGTTGAGATAGTTATATTAGGTATAATTTTTCATAAAGGAGATATATTTTTAAAGCAGTTCCATTTTTGCAAGTAATATAAATTTTGGTGAAAGAGCAAAAGATCGAACAGGCATGAAGAAGTCAATATCCTTTTCTCAGCTAATTTTTTTGGCTCTCCTGTTAAGTTTCCTGGCTCCCTCTCAAGCTCAAAGTCACATATTTTCAAACCTTCATCTTTAATATCTCTTTCTCACACACACAAACACACACTTAAAAGCTATTTTTTTTTTCATCTAATCAAACAAAAAATAAATGAAATGGTCACTTAAGGCACGTGACCCCCTATACACCGCAAAATTGGTCACTTAAGGCACGTGACCCCCCTGAGCATGAGTATAAAAGCATTAAAAATGTGCAATCATAAAAGAAATGCGTCACTTACAAATTTTGATGTAAAATGCTTTCTCGATTCCCCGCATTAAGTTTAGCCCAATTAACAAAACGTTGTGCTCCAGCTTTATACTCATCTAAAGCTCTACAGCTGAAAATTAATAAAAATATTTTTTATTATCACAAAAATGACAAGAACAATGTTTATGAGTAAGGTTATTTAAAGTTATAATAACCTGCCATTAAGGTGCATCCAACCTTTATCTATTGAGTGTCCTGAATAGCACCATATTAGTTGACATTAGCATTAGCATAATTAATAAATCTCTAATTTTTTATCAATATTTTTCCAATTTCCTTAAACATTAATGTTCAAAGGAAGATTATCATTCTCATTCATATATTCTTCATTTACCAAATCTTCAAATTCATTCACATTTTCTTCATTTTGATTCTCATTCCTATCTTCATTCATTAATCTCCATGTTCATTAAGATTTTATTTATTCCTATGTTCTTCATTGACCAAAACTAGTACTCATAAGATGAAAAAACCAAATTCATCATGCACTTAAAACATAGGAGTAAAAGAGACAGATATGAGAAAAACAGATTATATCAAGAAGAAGTTAAACAACTAGTACTCATAAGATGAAAAAACCAAATTCATCCAGGGACAGTGACGACCACTTGGAATAACCAACCACACGTATAGTAAGAAGAAGCTCTTAAAGATGTTATAGCTTCTGTTTCCACAAATCTCACAGAACTCAGAAGTACCACACAGTTAGTTCGCATTTTAAAAACGTCATAAACAGATAAGCAAAATACTGGATACAATTCATAAGACAGTTATATACAGCAAAGCATTAAAAACTTAAATAAAGGATGACAATCTAATCATCAAAATAATTAATGACAAAAACTAAATATATCAAGGCTTAGCTTATGTTTATGCTAAAGTCAACATTTCTTTTTCCAGGCTAGACAAACCATCAAAAAATTAAGAGGCAAAAAAATATTTTCAATATATGTATTTCTAAACAAATTTGAAGGGGAAAAAAAAAGTTCTTTCGACATAAATTTGTGCTTATACTCACAGATTAGACAAAAGATTGCTGAAAGAAAAATGAACTAATTTATAAATAGATATAATATACTATAGAATTTCAAAGAAACTGAAATTGCATAAAAATTATAAGAATTACAGACCTTGATTACTTGATTTAGGAAAAAAAAAATTAAAACAAAACCCATACATACAAGTTAGCAGTTGCAGAGAGAGGGCTTTAGAGTTGAGAGACAGCGAGCCAGAGGCTGAAGCTTGCAAACAGCGAACCCGATCAAGCTAGAATAGCGGGATTTGGAAACTGAAGGATATGGGTTTTGATTTTTTCAACAATCTGAAATGATATGCTGATATGGGTTCTGATTCTTGTAGATTTTGTAGTTTGCAGTTGCAGAGACAGAGAGAGCGGGCAAGTTCCGAGTTGAGAACGAGAATAGAGATGGAGGCGATTTGGAAGCTGAAATGATGAGAACAAGAATACAGATGGAGGCAATTTGGGAGGCTGAAATAATTTGCCCTAAAATTGTATGCGTGTGTGGTCTGTACGTGTGTGACTATATATATATTTGTATATAATATATATATATATATATATATATATATATATATATTTTAAGAAAGTAACGGGAAACCCTAAATTCACTTCACCATGGTAGAATAAATTACTACCACGGTTTTGCAGTAACCGTGGTAGAAAGAGCGGTAGAAAGGGCGGGATACAAACCCGCTAAATTTGAGTGAAATAATTTCACTTTTTACCACGTTTAATGGAAAACCGTGGTGAAATAAATGCACTTTCTATCATGGTTCTTTTATAACGGTAGTAAAAAATATAATAACTACCATGGTTTTCCATTAACCGTGGTAGAAAGGATCTTCTATAATGGTTTAAAAATAACCGTGGTAAAATATATACTTTCTACCATGGCTATTTTAAAACCGTGGTAGAAATGGTCTTCTACCACGGTTATTTTGAAAACCATGGGTGCATGGTAAAAAACTGTTTTTCTTGTAGTGTGCTGGTAGTGAGCTATTTTACTCCCGGGCGCGCCCGAACTCCACCAACTTTTGTAGCTGCGGGATTAGACCAGTGAAATGCTTATTTTCTGACTTGTTGCTTACTCATAGAGGCTTGTATTTAAATGAAATTGGACCATTTTGTTAAGGTTCTAACTTTTTGTAATACCCCTAGTTTTCAAAAGGATAAAATAGGGATTTAATTTTGTTTAATTGATTTAATTATGTGACTTAGGTGTTTTGTTTTATTTATTATTTGTTTGAAAGTGTTTATTTAAATTATTATTATTTTTTAATTGTATTGGTTTTTCTTTAAATAAGTTATTTAACTGTAATTGTATGTTGGTTGTATTTTTAGGTGTGTAATTGTGATTTAATTTAATTAATTAAAATAATTGTGATTTACTTGGATTAATGACGTGTGTTTTAAAATGACTTAGTTGGTATGGATTTTTTTGTATGGTCGTAGGACTAGGGTTTTTCTTCTATAGGGATTAATTAGCCGACATATGGTAAGGCTGGGATTGGGATTAGGGTTGATAGGGCAGATATATATATATATATGTTGTATGTCTGCAACGATTTTAAAAATCCTTTTCCCTATAACTCGAGAAGAGAGGAACAGAGAAAGACTTGAGGGAGAAGTTGTGAGGCTAAAGGAGGAAGAATAGGGGAAGAACAGAGGGGTTGAATCTGGATGGAATTAAGAAACAACAGAGGACTGGAATGGTGGTCAGAGGTGGAATACAGTCTTGGAAATTCTGAAACTTAGAGACGGCGGTGAAGGTTTCAAACCGGAATCTTAAGGCAAGTTTCAGTCTATTCCTCTCCTGTAAACTTGTGTTCTGTGCATCTTATATAGACTCCAGGAACTTAATTAAACTTTTAAAAATAGACTTTATTCATGCTTGATGTTTTCTAAAATTTGTTCTGCCTTTTTAAAGTTTAAACTTATTCTTGCATAAACTATGTGTGTATTTTAAGTTTTGTTTGTCAATTGGTTCACATTGGGATAGGAGGAGTCTCTAGGGGTTTAAGAGCATTAATGGAACCTTAATAATCTTAAAAAGGTCTAGAATGGAACACTGGACTTCGCCGGAAGCACAGACGGCAACAGGACGAAGCAGAGACGAAGCAATGGAGCAGAGACGGCTCTCAGGGGAAGAGAGCCGGCTCCCTAGATGAGGGAGCCGACTCCCAATAAGATAGAGCCGGCTCTCCATGAGGGAGAGCCAGCTCTGGAAGATGAAGAGCCAGCTCCCATGGGGGGGAGCTGGCTCCTTTGAACAGAAACCCCTCTGGGGGTATTTCTGGTAATTTTTGATACTTCAGGGGCAGAAAAGGTAATTTTGGAGTTCATGGGGGTTCTTAATTGGCGTATAGAGCATGTTTAAGACCTAGGATGTATTGTTTCAAGTCATGAGAATGGACAACATAAATTTTAAAATATGAATGTTCAATACTGTCAAGAAGGAAAGAGAATTGGAATCGTTGGTTGGCTAGCAAATTAAATGAATGGCTACAAAGCTAAGTGTTAGGATTTTATACCAATGATATAAATGACATGTTTTAGTTCCAAGAAGGTTGTTTATGCTATGGTTAGGGTCGTTATGTAATTCTAACTGATAGGTTGCATGCCGACAGGAGTTGTAGGAGTTTTAGTTGCTAGCTTTGTTTTAGCGAACTAAATGGACTTGTATGGGAATACTTTTGGGGTTTCATAAGATGTACTCCGGGTAGATTTCTGAGTGTCGTTATATCAGACACATGATCTATAGTGAGGATTAAAGGTACATCATGTAATTTAAGCATTACTTGGCATGCTGTCAAGGATGATGTAGGTTGTGATTACTAGTTTTGTTTTAGCGAACGAACTGGACTAATATGGAGGTATTTTTGGCAGTCTAGTATAATGTGCACAGTTATAACTCTATTTGTCATTATATTATGCTATGGATGTTAATTGATGAACTGTTAAAATTTATGTTCGATCAATTGTATGGAATTAGATAATTTAAATTGTTTATCATTACTTTAATAATTTAAAGGAAGGATTTATGGTTATAATCATATACTGGATGCATGATAGGATCTTAATAATATCTTATTTCTATTATGTTGGTTTCTGGATATGTTTGATGTTCTAATGAATGTGCATCATTTGTGGATCATTTGCATTATATGTACCGGTATGGGACGGTAACATATCAGGGATGGATTTGATCAAAAAGCTAAGTCCTACCCCTTCATACATACGGAGTGGATTAACTAAAATAGTTAACTCCTACATGGATACATGTCCTGTCAACTAAAACAGTTGAACGACATAACGGATGTTTGTTTTATCTTTCTGCATTAGGAAGGAATTTATATATATATTTATGGTACTGTGATACGAGCTTGAGTCTCCTGATCACAGTTAGGGTGCATATATTGCAAAGGTTGAGTAGCTAGATATAACTAATGTTCCCTGGTAGGTCTAGGTATTTGGCCGCTGAAAAGCGTGTTTTATATGTCACCTTCTACCTAGGCTGAATTATGTTATAGGCTAGTGAGCATCCTATAGTGTGTGTATATATATATAGACTATTGTAGATATTGCTAAGCTATCAAGGATGTATCTGCGTATCGGGTTTATGTATGGATTGTAGTAAATTGGAACTTGCATGTGGGTCGACCCACTTCTATTTTTCAGGTATTCGCCGGTACCAGGCTTAGAGTTTGATCGTGTTGATGCAGATACAGACACTTACTCTTCCGGTTATATAGGATTTCCTTTCTATTTTGGTTTTGGATTTTAATTCTGTAAATTTATTTAAAGTTTTGGAATTAGGGGTCCACTAGGTGGTTCCCGAGTTGTACTGATTTAAATTATATTAATTTATTATTTAAGGTTCTAGGATTTTCATTTTAGATTTCTTTCAGCGTATTATTAATTTATTCTTAATTCAGTTTTTATTTCTGCTTGTTTATATATTAATTATTTGGTATCCCTCGGATCTGTGCTCGGACTTGATCACCCGTGACTCTAGAATCAAGGGGTATCACTGTTGGTATCAGAGCACTCCATGTTCTAGTGTCCTTAGGAGTGTCTTTCGCTAGAAGTCTTCCACGTTGCGTCTCTTAAAAAAAGAAGAACTTAGAGCCATATTATGATTCGTTGTACTCTTTTACGGTTCGTTAGGAGGAGTAGCTAATGTCAATTATATTCTATAATTATGAAATGGTTGACACTAGAAGGAGGATGGGGTCCACGGCGACAGCGAATCAGACCAAAGGAGTAAAGGAGTACGTTATCAAGTTCTCTACCAGAAGCAGAACTCGAGATCGAAGGTTTAGTTCCGGTTGGCGCTACTTTTGGAAGTACAAGCCAATGAAGGATTTGGGAGTGTGTTTTAGGTCACCGTATGAAGGGACCATCACGAGTTTAGATGTTCTCATAAAGGAGACAATCGAGGAATAGGAGTCAGGAGAGGATTCTAGTGTCGGAGAGTCATCTACTTAAGAAAGAGGGTATTGAATCTTGGAAAGCAAGGATCACGCGAGGGTGATCTTGTTCACTAATAGTATAGTGAACAATACTCATAGAGTTGAGGTGGATAGCTAACCTTGTGTATTACCTTTAAACAAGGTAGATAAAGGGAACTCTTTAGGGGTTTAGGAATCGGATGGAGTTCTTCTCAGAACAAAGCAAAGATTATATAGCACGTTCCGGGGAGTAGGGGGATTAGGTTTTGACGATCTAAGTTGCTTTATATAGCTACATTAGACGGTTTGTATTCTGTGTATAAGGAGGATGAAGGTTAAGCCTTTGGCATTTGCTGAGGTAAATGGAGTTTGTTTTAAGCTATGTTTCGAGGTTGGATTATTACCTCCGGAACTGTAGAAAGGGGATTGTGAACCAATCGGGTAAAGTTAATTTCTAAAAGAGATTTTCTTTGTTATGAGGAACGATGTTTTACGTAGGGGTTTATTGTGTTTTATTATGTGTGCTTTATGTGTTTTTTTTTCGTAAGTATTTAGGATTGGGAATACGGTTTAGTTGGGGACACAAGTGAGTGATCAGTTAACTACCGTTTTGGAGGAATAGTGTTAATTACGCTAGGATTTTAGGCATGTGATCATAGGATTTGGTAAATATATCTAACTTTAGCCAATCTAATGAACCTAGACATGCGTGGTTATAGTATGTGTACAGGATGGGATAAGAAAACCAGTAATTTGAGTCAAATGATATAGATTCATTTGATAAGCTGTAACGTCATGCTGGTTTATAAAAGGAACTGGCTTGGCTGAATATCTTCTAGGAAAATTTTAAACGGGTGTTCCCAAGTCAGTAGGAGGATTTTGGTACTGGTTTAAGTACTTGTTGGAATGACACTGACTGAGGATAGTAGACGGATTTACTAGTCATCAGTCAATTCTTAATCAAGAATTTTATTTTCATCAGGGAGTGTCATTAGGAGGAGGTGCTGGAGTTGCATATCAAGGAGGAGGCAGAGTCACTCATTTACAC